TTCCACTGTACCCTTCTCCATAGGGTTAACAGCCGTTGATCGAAGAAGTCCGAACGTAGAGTGGTTCGTGGCCGCAATATATTATTGACCGACGTATACGTCGTTATGTGTAATATCGAGAATCATACGAACCCCGTGAATCGAGTTAATGTTCATCATTTTATTCGGCTCGCGGCTAATGAAGCATTCAGGCCCGACGAAAGGGGTAGGAAGATGGAGCTGGCTAGGGGTGAGAGGGCGTAGCACGGTGAAATAGTTCGGCAATCAGCAAGCTCTAGAAAACAAGAGGGAAGGCCGGAGACGAATTGGAACTGAGCAGAAGTTCGCGCAGACTAATTATAGGAGTCTATTTCGTTCGGCCTTTAATTGCCCGATTACGAAGGACAAAGGGCGTCCGCCTACAATGGCCGGGTAAAAGGATATTAACTCTGATATTTCGAGCATTGCCGCAGTTATTCCGATACCATCCTTAATCGCACCACCGCAACAACCTCGCGTTTGTTGAAGTCCCTTCCGTAGCCAGATATGCATATATGGTAACGCAAATAAAATTCTACGGATTTGATAAACGTGGAATCGTTCGTTATTGAAATAATGATTGCGATAAGATTTCGAATATTTAATTAGAAAGTCTTGTTTGATAAACGAGACATCGAGAACGATATGGATAATGATCCGTGAAACCAAACTCCGGCTACCGGAGGTTTCATTGCATTTTTCATTCTGTTCTCTTTACAAAATATACAATTGTCGGTGGAAACGGCAAAGTTCGTAATAACGCTACGAGTTACGGTACTATTCCACGAATCATACTCAACGTTTCAATGAAAACGTTAATTGAACAATGGGCCATTTTTCAACGAGTGGATACTGTAGAATTTTAGATTCCATTATTAAATTTCGTTCGAATGCAGTTTCGAAACGTTTTGAAAAATTATTACGCAGCATTGTGTACGTGCAATACTGTACGCAGTTAGAATGTAATTCTAAATATTTTACGATAAAATGCTGAAAATTAAACAAAAAAGTTAAAGTAAATTCAAATGAATGGTTGATCAGGTTATGAAAAATTTATATTCTATAAATTACGAGCTGTTCAAGTTTTATTTTCATGAGCTTCAACAGTATTTTTTTGACGAAATTTTTATTTAAGGGAACAGAAGAACAAAACATCGTTGACTTCGTTCATTTTCAGTGTGATACAAACAGAACTACTTGCCACTTTGATTAATGGAATACTAATCATTAATAATAAAATACACTAAGCGCTTCTGTAAAGAATAGTAAATACATATTTCAAAACTGCGCGCGTTTATCGAAAAGATGACACAACAGCGTTTGGAACTGCTAGAACACCATTGGTAGAACCAAATTGATCTGAGCCAATGAGAATCGAGCCCGCGAAACAGAGAAACCCCAATCGAGACGAAGTAGTTGCTTATTTACAAGCGGAGTATAATTAGTTTTTCATAATATTTGATTATATATTATACTAGCTATTAGTAATGATATTAACCCGTAAAATAAATGTAGATTTATCGATCAGATGACAATATTTAGAAATACCAGAACATCATTGGCGGAGAGAGATCGGTTTCAGCCAATGAGAAATAAGCCCGCCAACAGCGTTCCTCTACTCGGGTGCGCAGTAGTTGCGCAATAACTGCGCAGTGCAAATGGCGGTGAGAAGCAAGTGTGAAAGTATGCTATGAATTAAAAAGTGAAGCGTCTGCAGGAAATTAATTGACAACACCCACTTTTAACGAAAATCGACGCAACAACTAACACGTAAGTGTATTTATAATTTCCATTTTGAATTTGTATGATTTGATATCAGAAAAATGTTCATAAATGGTGCGGTCGAATTCCTACTAGAGGAACAGAAATTCACACGACCGATTACGAACTTTCGTAGAATAAAAACTTAGCATCCATTTACGTTTCCCATCATAAATGTTTCGCTATTTACTTATTGATAATTCAATATCATTTATTTCGTTTGAATGAGTATTCTATGATTATTTTCGACATTGATAATCTTGTACTCGAGTCTACATATAAGGGTAACATTGAATTATATTTCAAGACAAAGGTTTAGGGTAATTAAAAGATAATCCACTTTATTTGGCATGTGGATGTTCTACTTACATAAAATATAAAAAAAATACGATAATATCAATGTTAAAAGTACTTAAAAGGTATCTAATTAATTACTACAATTATTAATGGAAGTAGGTGTCTTGTCTGAATTAGATGAAGACACGAGACGAGGTTCTATTAATTGTGCAGAATTTAGTGTTATTGTATCATTTATTACACGTTCTTCGTCATCTTGTACAAGTGTAAACTTTCCAACTGGCACCTGTAGCTCGGATAAACCTTCTGCAAATAAATCGCGATGAGATTTAGATTTAGATTTCTTTAATTTATATGTACACTAGGCCAAATTAATCTATTCCCTGCTTCAAGGGAAAGTCACTAGCACAAACCTCGAAGCACAGGAAAAATTAATGTGACCATTCGTACAAAACAATTAAAAATACATACGCAATACTTTGAAGGTATACATCAGTGTTGTTGGACAATAAGATATAACTTCCGCCACAATAAACTCTGATACTTGTGGCGTATAATCCACCCCAATTTTGAGCATCTAAAAATTAATTCCGTATAAAAATTAGTTTTGTCCACGAGTAAAAAAAAATGTGCTTACCTTAAAACCTACAAAGTCTTTAATTTGAGGTTTCGTTGTCATAACAGGGCATGCTGAGATATCTTTATTCGATAATTCCTTTCCCTCTTGTAATTCTTTACTTAAAGATATACTTTCGTTTGTATTTTCGAACGACATATTGTGATTAGTCTCTTCATCGGACATATGTTCTACTTTGATCTCCTCCTTGACTTTCGTATTTGTAAAAGTAGCTGGTACAGAATTTTGACCCAGCGACAGTAAATTAGCAAGTTCATGAGGAGGTGATTCTTTATTTAGGTATTCATTCCTTGTTTCCCCCTGGATAACATCTTTTATCAAAACTTCCTCTGTATCCGCATTATCAAATCTTATATGCTTACTAGAAGAAATTATATAAGAATTTATTATTTTTGGCTTCTTTGGTTTGTTTTCTTCTTCTACAACTGGTTGCTTAACATATTTGGGCTTCTTCTGTCTTGTTCGTCTTCTTCTCTTTTTAGCCAACACACAATCTTCTGATATACTAACATCATTGATTAAAATTGAATCGTTAGTTTTTGAGTCAACCATACTGACCGTGTCATCTTCTGTCCTGCTACATGTCGTACTAGTTTCTAAAATATCTGAAAGGAAAAAAATTCAACATAGAATATCTTTTATTAAAACACAGACATGAAGTTCTCTCACCTCTTTGCGACCTATTTAAAATATCATTCGACAGATTCTCTTGTACTAGCATTGAATTTATCTTCTGTGGGGATAAGTTGGTTTGAGATTCCTTATGTTGAATAGAGTAATTATTTCTCTCTATTTTCATGACATTATTTTCACTTTCTGTTACCGTATGTGTAAATAAATCTGGTCCATTTTCTAATCCAGACCCTGGACAAACCCTGTAATATTTAAATGAAAGCAATACAGTGCATGCATATATATAATTTACATAGTATGACAAATGAAAATTCTTACGAAATCGTTTCGTTCTCCTTGAGGACACGAATGTCTTCGTTAGGTGGCAAATATTCGATCTCGTTTAACAACAAGTGGAATGATTCTTTCATATTGAACAACTTTGTAATGTGCTCCATCAAGTGAGAGATTTGCAACATTTTTGCTCCGTCGACAAATATCCAACAAAATCGACGAACATCATTATAAAATTTGCACAAATCGAGCTTTATGCGAAAATTCGACCGGCACATTTTTGCTTTTAGGGTTATGTTTTATTAGCGTTTACAGACGTAAAAGTTATAATCAATTGGTACAAAAATAAAGAAAAAAACAATCAAATTATTGTGCGAATGGCGAGACAAACGTTAAGTTAAGTGAATCGTTTCATTCAGGAAACAAAGATACGATCCACGCTACCTTTAAGTTGTGACTTTTTCCACAATCGCATGTAAACAAACGAAAAGTTGTTCTTACGTTGGTAAGGTAGTTAGCCAGTTTAGGACTAGTTACTATCTGTAGAGTTACAAGCGTATCGTGGTTTAGGAGTAGGATTTAGTCTGTGCCTTATCTGCAATGATACGTTATCTTAGTGTTCGATATTTAAATGTTATAAGTTTTTCATGTTATTTCTATATAATTGAGAATCCAGAGTTCTTAAAATGACTAAAGAATGTAATTTACATGTTCGACAAGCAAACTGAATGGTCAGCATTTCTTCAGGGGTCAGTTTGTTTCGCAGGCAAAGCTGGTAGATGGCATTTCTCAATCGATAAACAGATCCCCGATATACTTACAATTGAGGAACCAGAAAATAATATTGTTCGATATCATTGAAAATTGTTGCAAGAAACATAACGAAATAAATGGAAATAACTTGTATTGCCATTCTGTATATTTACGAGCTTCCTTTCGCGAAAATGTAGATTCCATTGTTATTTAATTAAATTCACGTGGAATTTTACGATTGGATTGAATGTACCACAAACAATTATAATTAAATTAAATTCGTATATTTAATTAAATTTAGGTAAATCATAATTGCATTTATACGAGTTATAGTTAAATTAAATTTCTACAAATTGTTACGATGTAATACTCCATCTGTCGTTTGTCACAACGCGCCCCTTAACACATTACGTACGGTGTTTTTTTTTTCTTTTTTTTTCTTGCGTACGTTCGGGTTGTTAAAGACGAGATATCTCGACTTCATCTCGTCACCCGTCCTCGATGTGTTAATTTTATCTCCTCGAATTATTTCGCGTAATCGTAGAACATCCTTCGGAGTGCTCTTGATCTCTCAATCTCGGTCCACGGGAACTGTGCATCAAGGGAATGCAAATGCATTTTTTCTTAATTCCGCGACCGTAATTGTAACCTTGCTGTGAATCGGACAACGTTAATACCGCGCTGAGTAGAGTTCAAAACGAGAGTTTAAAGGGATAAGCCGAGGTTTAGCGCGCTCGGAAAGCACTTCGCGATGACCGAATAAAAAGAGAAACTAACCCTGCTTTAATCGTCGCAGGTGCATATCGAACGTATTAAATTATTTATAGTCCAACTAAACCTGCCGCTACCGCGGTCCGTCGGCCACCGACGGCGTAGGGGTTGTTAAAAATATCTCTCGCGTTTCGATCTCTCTCTCTCTCTCTCGCTTCGCAATCGACATGACACGATGCATTATCTTTTCGCGTTGGCGCAAAATTAATCGAGCGTTGCTGAAAGTAACCTTCGATTCCGATACAGCGACTCACCTTGCGCAACCAGCTCCGCAGCGAGCAGCCACGGTTTGTTTATCGCGGTAACTGCGTTATTAACGTTCCGCAAAACCGATACACGGCGTTAATTAAATTTTCTTTGACGCTCCTTTCGTATGCAGCACTCGTTAATGGTCCGAATGACCCGACGTTCCACGAACCTCGTAAAAAAACGACACACTCTCGAATTCTCGTTTCCTTTGAACAATAGAAACGGCAAGGGTGGAGCCTCGAAGCGCGGAAGAACAGCGTGCGTCGTTTCATAGTTACAAAAATATATATGTATATATTTCTAGTAAATTACGTAAAAATTGATTAAAATTGTCGCATCGACGAGAAACGGTAGCTCGCGAAGTAGCACGCTACCCTCCTGTCCGTGACAGGATTCAGGATGCGGTGAATGGAAAACTGCTGGCGCAGTTTGTAGGTTTCAACCGTGCGGTTTGTCTCGTCTTCCTCGTTGGCAGGTCACACGGTGGGCCGATCGAGGCTTTTCGGCGACGGCTTCACTGGTTCCAATGGAAGGAAGGACAGGCAGAAGCAGGCTAAATAAACGACGATAAAGATTGAATGATTTCGAGAACGCAAAGCAGTCGATAGTTCGAATTAAAGTATGTTGCAGTCTGCAGGAAAATAGGGAGAGTTTAAGTCATTGTTTTTTTGTTTTCAAAATTACTCACAAAATACAGGCCCACAAAGTCAATAGTTTCGATGAATTTTCACGAGTGGCGTCGACTTCGAGGGTCTGTATTGTTTAAATAACTCGAACCACAACCAAACGATGGCTTAAAGTCCGCCTATTTTCGCATGGACTGCAATATAATTTAATCGAAACGAAACCCCTGCTATCGAAACATCATTTTGGTTCGAACGAGCTCTAATAGGACTTTGTGACTTACCGAACATCAGGCAACCGAGGCCAATGAACCCGTAGAGGCTGTCCAAGTTTAACAGCGCGGAAAAAATGAGATTTCCCAGTATGGATCCTAGGTTCCCGAAGGTTGTCAGGATGTTAAGGCTGGTGGATCTGAATTCGAAGATGCGCGCAGTTAAGGCGAGTCGCGATAGGGAAATCTCCCGCGATCGACGCGTAACGACGCATCGTGGATAGGAATTAGAAAGGGTATTTCGTTCGCGGGAGGCGAAATGGTCGGAGGACCAAGACGGTAGAAAGCGACGGGGCCTGCTGGTCCGTGTCGCGAAGGGAGGAATTACCTTAACAGGGTAGGAAATACATCGGCGTTCACGGCGTTGACGACATTACCCGTTACTCTCGTCGTGACGATAATGGCGATGCACAATAGCAGCATGTAGAGAGGAGCCTGTGCCCAGTTCGATCCGAAACTGCCTACGACCGATAACAGGAAACCGGCGACTGCAACGGTAGGTAAACGTTAGCGTGCTTCCTTTTCGAAAAAAGGAACGGACTCTCTCGCGTGATCGATGTTATCGCGTCGAATATCAGTCGGGAGAGGAACTGTTTGAATAATTCAATGCTCGAATATTTTATGGAACGCGACGAATTAACTTTGAATATTTTAGTATATATTAATATTCGAATTAACACGTATCCATATATGTATTTCCATCATTTGAATAATTTGGGCGCTGGCAGCAATCATTTTCCCGATGAACCGACTATTGAACGCAATGCGTGTCTGTAAATACGAAAAAGTTTCGTTTTGTTATTTTCTACAAGGTGATATCTTTTTTTTAAGTTCACACCTCTACGCCCCTTAGAATTTCCAGAAAACATCGTCTCGCAGTCAAAGGGTTGATACGCAGAATATTCGCAGAATATAGTGTTCTCCAAATATTCGAGTCATCGAAGCATTCGAATAATCTTTTCTCTGGAAACGTCGAACGCGAGAAGTCCGTTTCCAAGAGAAGATGTCAAGTCATCGAAGAAATCGGAGCTCCTTACGCAACAATATTTTTTTTCTAAACTTGGTAGTGGTTATTATCCCCGCGAGGAATGCTACAGTGACTGCAGACGTCGCGATCATGGCAGACTTCTGATACACCGGCGCGTTGATTGTCCACTGAAAAAAGAGCGATTGCAATTGATTCGCGTCGTTAATTAACGATCTTTAAGTAAATATTCTTCCGCGAAATGGAATATTCCATATATGGCCCTTGGCTTGACTTGGATGAAATTTGTATAGGCAAGAGGCAGTGACCAAACAGTCACGAATGTATGAAGAATGATTCACTCATAGGAAAACTGAAAGGTGTTCTAGATTTTTTAGCGGCGGTACACGTTGACTTTTTAACAGATCTAATTCTTTGTTTGGCCATTACTTTCTCGATTTCTTTGGTTGATTTTTCTGTTCTCTCGATACTTAAATTTAACCTCGGTTCTTCTGCTTGCTAGCTTCTAGTATACGGTTTACGTAAGATAATTCTTTTCCATTAGCTAGGTGAATCAATTAGAAAGAAAATTAATTACGGCCGCTGCTCGAGTAACAATAATAATGTGCTTGCGATGCGCGTCCTGGCATTATGCTAAGGACGCGATGGCTGCGAACTCCTCACCGTCATGCAAATGTCGTCGAAATCCGGGCAGCTCAAGTAATCTCTTGCTGGCACGGTTCTCCGTCGATCCAGCATCTCGCTCATGGTTGGCGGTCGGTCCTCTGTCCACCTCTCGGCGTCGAAATTGCTCAAAATCTTGAACATATGCGGCACCCACAGCCTCATCGTATTGAACCTATGCGCACGAATCGTCCAAGAACACGTGATCTATGATCGAGCAGGGAACGATAACAAAACCCACTCCCGTAGCTTTCAAACGTGGCGTGATATATTATCGATATCTTATGAACATACAAAACTTCGCCGGTTGTATAATATGTTATATAGTATGTATAAATAATCACAATCGTCGAAGATACGTGCGAGTAAAATAGTTCTTCATAATCCTATAGCGCGGTTAATGCTTACGCGAGCTGCGGATTCTTCGTTTTTTTCCTTGCCCATTTTACGATATATTATTTGCTCGTGTTCTCGTCATCTGTATCTTTCCCAATAATTACAACTTCGCTATTATCCACAATTTCAATTAGAAGTAGACTACATTCCGCGAAATTGATTACTTATAATCACAGAATGCGAGGTACGAATTATACATAGAAAAAGAACTTATCGCATCTTTCTTCTACAGAATCCAATGTACGCTATAATTTGTTCCCGCTGTAATTTCGATAGTCTCAAAGTTTATCGAGATACAGGTGAAAGATCTTCGTCTGTTTACGCGAAGCGTAAGAAAGAACCTTCCCGTTCCGGCGCAAAAGAAAGAAACCGGGGACTTTTTATATGTTCATAAGCGGAGTGAATTATTTAGGATTGAAAGAAGCGCGAAATGGGTCGAGTCGACGGGTAACTTACGCCAGCATGCTGCCAAATTGGAGGAAACCGAGGAGAGAAACGGTGCGCAGATACGGCCCGGAGAATACCTGTTTGGTGTTGTACAAGGCGAGCCGTATTTTTTCCGAATTCTCCTTGAATAAGGACCGCCGCGATAGCTGCGCGTCCTGCCGCGCGAGGAGCTTTTTTATCTGCAATGAAAACACCGGGAACAATGGCCGAGCGATGCTGCCTAGGATCCCCCGTGTGAATTATACGTTCGACTCTGCACGGCCGGTATCTCGAAACGTTCTATTCCCCGAAAAATACTATTCGCGCCACCGTTTGTCCCCTTCGTTGCTCGTTACATTCCGTCCCGTTGCCGCGCGTCGAGCAAACTCTTTTCGCCTGACGGGAGTTCTCCGCGGATCTGGCGCCCGTAAATAAAACGCGTCGTTCGTTTCGCCGACGGCGGAGCGTGTATCTCGCGCTCGTTCGTTTCGCGAAACGGGCAGAAACCGCGGAAATTTGCGAGACTCGAGAACCCATCGGAACCGTGTACGCGTGTTAATTAATCGAGGGCTTAACGTGTTCGAAGCTTTCACGACCCAGATTCTTCATGGTTGACGATAGATAAGACTTCCAAGTGTAACCTGTGCCCTTTGGATAAAATTTAGCTCAGACATTTAGCTAGCATTGCGGGTAGATTCTTTAGGGGTCAAATAGGGGATCGATATCAGGGAGTCACTCGACCTCTGAAAAAACTGTAATCCTGACTTAGTATCAACCAGAATAGCAATCCTCTACCTCAAACGAGTGACGACAATAGAGGCATAGCTTCCTTTCAAATGACGCATTGATATTAATCATTTACCCCTTGAAAAAGCTTACATCTGGAAATCTCAGATACCATCGCGCTACTTTTGGATAGCCAATCATTCAATAATACATCTTATCACTCGAAGACCTCTATAAATAATTTATCGCAGACATTGACTTTTTCCACAGAAAGCATGTGGCAATATTTGTGCACAAATCGATTGACTCCATAAAAGAAAGAGTTGAGAAATGCGATGAAATAATGTACATTCTTTCTTAAAACTCCCTTTGCAATATAAATTCAAATAAGTATTGAAAATTGTTCTTTCTTTTTCAAGAAAATTATTATAAATATAGAAAGTCATGACTATACCAAGCGCTTTGACACTTAAATTTAAGATTTGTCAAAAAGTGGAGTTAATCGATTCGTGCAGTGAACGGCTCGTTTGGATCCATCATTTTTCTGACTCGCAAACAGAGGTGCAAGCTTTGCGAACATCGTAAAGGCAACATATAGAGGCTAGTCCATAAATAAAATGTCGAATTCGTAGGAGAAACCGGCATTGAGTAGGCAGTCAGAATTGGATTTGTGCCGACTGCGAAGCATTATGGTATCGCGTGTGGTATCTCAGGGCCGAGAAATTAATTTCGTGCGTAAGTTTTGGACTCGCCTCTCGTCCCTGGCCGTCAAACTTCACCCAGACGAGGACGGATTCGCCGTTTAGCGAACGTAGGGAAGTTTGATCCCGAGACAGAGTCGACTGATTCGTTTTGATGGATCGATCCATCGCTCTTACCGGAAACGTATCGGCAGGCATCCACCTGTTGACGGCGTACGTCGTCCGCAGCAAATTCAAAGCGTCCTCGGTCCTGCCGATTTCCAGTAAGTATTTGGGAGTTTGAGGCAGGGTGCTGGCTGTCAGGAGACCGATCAGTGGAACTGTCGTGCAAATCAGCAGGTAGATTCGCCAGGTGTTGTATCGTCGATCGAATATCTCGACCTCCCAGGTCAGAGGCAAGACCAGGAATGCAACGACTGCGAAGAAATGTTCTTAAGGAAGGGGTATACGCAGTTGTCGTAACCAAAATTCAAGATATTTTAGTTTTAAGTATTGGAGTTAATGTATACATTTTGTTGTTGAGGTATATTTAACCCTTTGCACTCGGGCGTCCCCTGTGAGGAGACATCGTAAGTCTAACAAATTTTGTTAGTGACACCACTACAAACTTAAAGGATTTATGATGTCAACCCTTCAAGAAAGCTATAGGAATTTATAATCAACTCTAATAATACTAAAAAAAGACACGTTTCCAAAGTTAGACTATTTTATGTAATTCGATTCCTGTTCACACATTATGCAACGTGATAGCGCAGAGTCTAACGGATTGAAAATTGATTAACTTGGGAACGCATCATTTTAAACACCAAACAAATTATTCTGTTGAAATACGTCGGTATCTTTCGGATGAACGAATAAACTTCATTTTTTAAAGCAAGTTTTTACCGAAAAAGTTTCTTCGTCCATTCAGTAGATGTCGACATCTAACAAAGTAGTTTAGTATTTTTCAAATGAAACGTCCACAAGTTGTATGCACAGAAAAAAAGAGATTACTGGAAATTTGTTGTATCTTGTCCATTTTTAAATATATCTCAACAATACGTTTTATATATTAAGTTCGATACTTATACCGTAAAGTTACGCTTATTAAATCTGGAGAGTATTCTTGAATTTTGCCCATGACATCTACAAGTACCCCCTTAAAAGGTCTTCGAATCTCGAACGAAACGTTCGACGAGGACGACAGGAAGCTTACCCGCTGGGACAATGATCCCCACGTTCACGAGGAGTCCTGCCCACCTGGTGAAGCCCGCTTTGTACTCCGCCGAGTGAAATTCTGACAAGTACCCCAACACTATCGAAAACGGCCCTCCGACGCTGAAAATTGTTCACGTGGCTCGTGATTTGAACGCGTCGCTGAATCGAGGAAGCAAACGATCGACTGGCAATACTCACAGAACACCGCTCAGGAACTTGATCGCTAGAAACGCATAGTACGAATCGACCACGGTGCTGACTATATTCAGGACAGTGTCCAGCAGGAGTCCCACGACGAATAGATTTCTGGCCCCGACGTATGGCGTCACGTGGTCCCACATAAAACTGGTCAGCGTTATGCCTGCACAAGTTCGAATCGCGGGGATACATGCGAAGAGTCAACATTCGTTGTACAGGCGATTGTTCGTGTAAAAGTAAACCGAACACGTGGAATGAAATACAGGGTGTCCCAGTTTTTCCGAAGAAACTTTGCCAGCGTGTTCTACGTGCAGAAGTAAGAAAAAAAATGTTATATGAACACATGCTCTTATAAAGTATTAGGTTGATGCATATGAAATATCGTTTTTCATTTAATTATCGTGATTCATTTTACTCAATTCTTTCATTAATTGAATGTAATCATATTAAAGAGGAAGAAATGTACTGTAAGACGTACATATTAAAACGCTAAAGATGCTTAGAATAGAAACATTAAAACTTCATTATCAACAATCATGAATACTAAGAATATTTACGTTATTTTTTTATACATTTGTAAATTTTGGAAAGCGACCTTGGAAGTTTGCTGAAAACATAACAGTAGCATTTGGAGAAAATTATGTGAATGTTAGAACAATTCAACGTTGGTTTGCAATGTTCAAGACTGATGATTTTTCATTAGTAAATTAATTTTTTTATCATCATTTTCTACCCTTCGAGTGTAGAATAAATACAGAATATCATTGCATTGAAATAAAAGCATGCATTGAAAATTAATAAAAAGAAAAAAACAACTATGTGGAATCTATTTTGATTAAATATACAATGTTTTGAAAATATTTAGTATGGTTAAAGTTTCATTTGCATATACGACATTCTATATACACCAACCTAATAATAATACAAAATGATAATGAACTGACATTTCGTCGACACAGCGTACTAACGTATTATGAATATTCCTATTTCTGTTTACATAATCTCTTATGTTTATTTCTGAATCCTGTATTCGTAATAATGGACGTCACTTAGAAATGTTAACACGTTAATAAAACGTTAATAAAAAATGTCGATATCAGCTACTTCAACAAGTAAATATAAGAGTTTATGTAAACACAAATAGAGATATTCATAATACGTTCGTACGCTGTGTCGATGAAATGCCAGTTCATTATCATTTTGTATTGTTAGCTATGACTCGTTAATAAAACATTTAAGAGCATATGTTCATGTAACATTTTTTGCATCACGCTGGCAAAGTTCGGCTGAAAAATACTAGAACACCCTGTGTGTATGTATCGATATGCGTGAAGTGGTTTGCGTGAGATTAAGTGCGATTTTTATTAACGCGTTGGTTTTTTACTCGTTGCTCCTACTGGTATTGATATCAGTCAATAGCCGATATTTGCTTATTTTATCTTAGAACTTATCTTAGAACCAATGGGAGAAGATTATGTTAACGCAAATGGAAAAAACTGGCGATCGTGTCAGTTTTCCTGTATTGGTTCAGAAGGTTTCATGTTTACTCGCTAATTTGTAATCAATATTAGGAACTCAAACACCTGAGAATAGCAGAGAGTTTAACCCTCTCACGAGCACGAGTAGAGATGTTTTATTGAATAATAATTTGGCTAAGTCCTATTCGAAGAATTTTATTTCACGTTTCCGATTTATTTTTACGCGAAGGATCACCCTTTGTACCAAGAATTTTGGGTCCCCCTGTATTTCGACTAGAAAAATAGCAGAACTCCGTGGTATACTCTACCTATGTAGGGAAACGCCAAGAGGACACCTTTACGGAAGAACGTGAGTTGCAGGTCACACTCCGCGGAAGCCAAAATAAAGGCGGTTGTAGTCGTGTCGAACAATCCTGTCCATGCCGCAGGCAACGCAGCTATCAATAGCAGGACGTTGAACGTTCCGTAGCCTGCGAACGACGAATACGCGAATACTTCGAAAATACCCTCTCGATAAGAGCTCGTTGTCGGTGGAAGCGATACGAGACGAACTCCTTCAAAAATCTAAATTCGCAAACGAAATGACCTCTGTTTTTATCTTTTGGACCATTTCGATCGATCGGATCCTCTTCTCCACGCTCTCCCGCCGAAATTTTGAATTCTGAATCATCGCCGACGCTTGCGTTTAGCCCCGTTTCCTTCAATCTATTTTCGTTTCATCGCTAACAACTGGTCGCCGTTTTCTAGTCTGCTCGAGCGTCGGCCGTCTATACCCTCGTAATCGGTAAAATTGCCCGTTTCCACGACAAATTCGCGTCGCGTCTTCCACCGACTGTGCGCGAACGTGTTGCTGACCTGTCGCCGATATCGCCTTCTCGAGGTCCGCTGCTTCATCGACGTCGACGTCGTCGCATCTCGCTGAAAATTACGTCAGACTTGACGCGAAACCGTGCGCAAACGAACCACTCACGTGATCGAACGCAGCGTTGCGCAACGTTTGCGGTTTTTATAATGACAATTCATAAGAAGAACCCTTTAGACGCGCTGGGAACAAATGAAGTCGATACAAAAACCTAGCGATAATCGTTAACTCAAAGTCCAAAACAGCGGTCGAACGACGTCGAGATTCACGGCGACGAATCGCTGGACGAATGGATGGATTCGTCGATACGGTAGACAACCTACCGTACGATAAACGCAATTAAATTTACTGCACAACGTCGCGTCGCCATTCGAGACACCCGTCCACCTATGCGTTCTATATAAAGCACGTTATGCCAGTCTTTTATCGCGAGCGAATAATTTCAATCGTCTCGTGAGTACCCGCGCACGTGACGCAACCGCGTTTCAGCTTTTATACAAACAAAACATAGTCATGCTAACAGTCTGGAGAGATTCTCACCGCTTATGGTCGTGATTTTTCCATTGGTCCTTCTGTCAGTCATCGCTCCAGCGAGGAATTGGTCGATCGGTCGGTTCCTCTTCCGACCCTGGACGTTTCCGAGCCGGCCGCAGGATTATTTCACCTTCGTTTCGTTTTGGTGACACGAAGCAAATCCGAGACCGCGAACCCGATGCCGCGCGTTTGTCAACGTCCTCTCCCGTTAAGCTGGAAAGCGTTCGAGCAAAAATCGGTTGACGAACGCAGCGAGAAAATCCACGCCGATTCGATCCGCGCGACTACTGCGGACCGAGCGCTGCGTGCACTGGCGAGCTTCCCATTCGCGACTGGTGCGACTTGCCAATAAAAACGGGTCAAACGATTCAATTGTTGTGGTCCGCTGTTTCGGTCAGCGGGTTCAACACGATCTCATGGTAGACGGTTACCCGATATCGACCACTTGCGACGTCTTTGATCGGGCACACGGGTCAAAATTGCTGGAATTAATCGTTCTACTGGAAGCTCGGTGCTCGCTGACTTCGACCACTCTCCGTCCGACGAGCAGGATCGGTACCGTTGCTGCCAATCGCGACGGTTCAGCAGCTTTGGTAATCCGCTCTGCGCCGATCGAACATATGGTACTTTTAATCGAACCGTTTGATCGGCTTAGTTCGCGGGATAATCTGTTGTACGAGACGGAGGATATATAGGACAGGCTTCTCGATTCACACTTTAACCACCGCCTATTTAGAAAGAGTCTACACCTTAGAATAGATACAGGGTGGACCAAACAGGTGTAAGGAATCGTAACTCCGTCATCAGTGTCTTTATGATAAATAGTTGCATTTGTAGCTGCATTTGTAGTACCATATTTTTTTGTACAAGTGCAATGGTGCATGTGCATTCGATAGTATTATTCTTTGGAATGGAAATACATATATTGCATACAGGAGATATTAATCTGGCGTGAATATTAATCTAGACTGAAAGTCGACTTCTACACACTGTTACTAGGTATACTGGTATGTTTTTTTTTCGGGAGTAGACAACCAACAACAGAGCTAATAAATTGTGGGAGGTAACGATGGAATTAGAAAACCTATAAATAGGCTTCTGGTAGGTAAATTACTAAAGAGTAAAATGTAAAATGATTTTATATCTATACTTCTTCCCGTTGCCAGCGACTTCAACGGTTGACCGACGATTGGCACGGCGCATCGAGGATACTCTGCACCAATTTTCCGGATTTTCTTAACGTTACTTCAGAAAAGTTGTACCTAGGAACAAAGTCTCTCGTGTATCATCTATTAAAATACTGTTTACGTTCAGCATCCATCGTACAAGAGTACATGCGTTTACGACTGTTAGTTGCGCGTAATGTATTCAAATTCCTGCTTCCGTTTTATACAAAAAAGACGCCGATCTCAAAAAAAAGTCAACAGTTCCAAGCCGGTAGTCGAGATAGTACGACTCGATTCTGTATTATCGTATAAATTTTCCTATGAATTAAGCCGATCACGCACCGATCAAACACACCGTAATACTGCGTTCCTATTGCGGCAAGATTGAATCCATTAAGAAACCCAGCATCGAGCGAAGAAAGAAGATTAAGTTCTAAAAGCGGAGATATAAGTACTCGGTACAATGACACGACACCATAAACTTTCTTTGATCTAACCTTGGATATCAATGTTGCTTGAAAATTTCGAAATCCAGGGAAAGCATCGGCGAGCGACACTAATTCCGGTGCAAACTCAAACACCCGACGAATGCGCCCGCGAGATATTTTCTCGCGATAAGATAACCCGACGCGCTTCTAACGTTTCTCCGTTATTGTGGGTGGCAGTTACTTGTCATCTACGTCAAACGAATCGAAATCCTCGATTTTCCGCAATCGTCGTAGCGAGCGATGGAACGCACGCGGCCGCGATTACGCCAACGCGTCGTCGTCCTCCGCAAAGAACCGCGGAAAGAGAACTAAGTCGCGCTACGCGGTATCGCTGATCGAGTATGTCCTATCGATCAGTAGAGGAGGAGAAGTTTGCTCTTACCTTGCTCGAAAACTAGTTCGATCGTCGGTATTCTTATCGCGATTACCATTACAAATGAAAACGCGTGCGCGGCATCGCGAGCTGTAAGCGGAGATCCGCTCCGCGATTTCCGAACTTTGTCGAGGAACTATCTCGTCGGAGTTGTTTGCGCAGCTGCGTCCCGGGTCCCTCTGATCGAAGCTTTTCGAGATTGTGTCTGATGAGACGCGACTGCACGTCACGATTCGTCACATGAAAAAAATACCCCACGCTCCCGTTTACGATTTTCACGAGACTGCTCGCGCCGCACCTTGATCCGTCGCTCGTTAGCGAGTACACCCGCCGCGGGAGACCGGTTGTCCTAGGTGCACATTGGCGGGAAAACGGTCGTGACCGTGAGCGGTGCACTCGCTTGCGCCGCGGAATTCTTTTCGGTGTACGTTCTCTCTCGCGAACACCCATTCCACTCGAGACAAAAAAATACGATAAAGTGTTAGGTGTATGGAAACATTTCCTCAAATGCTAATGCAATCAAAGTGAAGGGTTTGTAGTAGATCTCCGTGTTAATTGGAGTAGCGTAATTCAATGATTGCGTGAATGGGAGAAGATTAACATCTTTATCGCCACGTCACCCACGTGTGGGTGACAGAGCTTTTTATTGTGGAATTAAATAACATTATTTCGAAGGTAAATGGTAATGAAAATAAATCTTTCGTAACGTTATCGTAATAAGTACTACGATAAACGTTTCATTACGTACGTTTCAATTGTCTCAAAACGAAATTGTATTCTCACAAAAACGTTCACGTATGTTAACGTGGCAATCATCGTGTTAATAAGGAGGGAAAATAGAGTGCACGCTCAACATTTGTGATTCGCTGCTAAGTCGATGTAGATGTAAGTCTTCCAGGTTTGTAATTGAGATCAGAAATGAGGCATTGATTTATTTCGACTGCCATTATATACGACTGTCCCGTTCTGTGCAACATAAACATTGTGACAAATGATCTGTAAATACTGGAGAAGTTTGAAACTTCATCGCTGATTTCATCATCTCGGATAATAAGGAGGTATCTACCTCTTATCAAAATGGTAGGAAAGAGTGATAGGAAATAGAAGAAAATATTTCCATGAAAATGTATTACACACTTCGTGCACTAATAATAAAGAAATCTCGTACAAAAACGATGGAAACTTTTGCATACTCCCAAATAAAGATCGATCGATGGATTTCCCTCGAGCGCGATGGTCCTCGACTACGTAGAACCGCGAGAACCGAAGCGAAAACATCGTGCTCACACGTGAAAAATGAAAAGAAAATTAAAACAAATATAGCAGGTGCATCGATCGACTCCGAGAGAGTTGCTCCTTTGTCAATTATCTCGAACCGCGACAGCGCGAAATGCGACTGCGTTCGTACTGGTACACTTCCGAGCTATCGAAATCTCGTGACACACGACACGATTGTAACTCGTGATCGTTCCTGATTCTACGCCGCGAACTTGTCGCGTGATCACGGCTGGCGTTGTTCGTACATAAGAATACGATTTCTTAATTTCGTCATCGCGATTGTTCAGCGTCGACACGGCTTGCCGAGCGATTTCGATCGTTTTACTCTCGCGATTATCGCGACACGTGTCGGTTAATTCCTGGAAGATGCACGCTGGATTTCACTGTAAACGGAAACAAGGATCGATCGGTGGTAAAGGCGCGGGGAGTCGATGGGACGGATGAAGACGCGTTTGTATGCCCGAACGAGCTATTCGGGACAACTTCGCCGATCTATGCAAATATTCAAGCCGCGAGGTTCCGGTGTCGCGTCAAAAGCTAATGACACAAAGATAATCCCTTCGCGTCGCTCCCTTGATCCACGTCTGTTCGCCGACACGGTGAATCTGGAAGGGTTGGTTTACGTCGACCGCAGTGTCGAGGACCGTTCGCTTCGGAGGAATGGCGCGTTTCATCCGTCTGGCTCGAAATTGGTTATTTTTATTCGTTTCGATAAACAGGAGCGATCTATTGATAAATCGATTAATTTTCATCGTCTCCATGGACTCAATTTCTCTTTCCTCGACTTCACGCTATAATAGTCCTTCGCTTCAAGACTGAATTTTTTCCCCTTCGACAAGGCGCCGAGTCATCCCCACTACTATTTCTCTATTTTTTCGAAACTATACCGTCTGGTCGTCCGTCGTGTATTTCTTAATGTATATTTCGTTCCGTAATGGAACTTATAATTGGCTTACTTTACATTGCATCCTCGTGACAATCTTATCAACGAGTTATCGTACCTGGATTTTTGTTTGTTTGTAGAATTCTTGAGAATTCTACGAGTACGCGTGCCTTCGAGTAAATTCGCGTTTCAGCCAGCTCTCTCGACGTCTTTCCATTGCACGATACACATAACTGAACGTTTAAATATCGTGGTATGGCGACTCTGCCTGTGAACCGAGGCGAAGCAGTAAGCAAATGGATACAGCATGTTGGACGAACATATATTTCCGACGATGTAAACGCATGGCTCGTCTCATACTGTCCTAAATGGTTACGCCAGTGTAAAATGTAAAAGAGATTTACCTCTTGGCAATTTTTGCTACCAAAGTATCGACTTTTGCGAGTATCTTACGCTCCGAAAAAACCCGGAACTCGAAAAATTACGGAAGTTATGAATTTACTTTAAAAAGTGTGCTAGGCCAACGAGCGTACGTGGTGCGCTACGTGTACCAGCTAGTCGGCGAAGCTTTAATGACGTTTTTCTCTCCACATTTTTGAGCAGCGTTGCCAGCAAAACTCGGTAAATAATTATCCCGGCACTCCAAACTTTGGCTCGAATATTACAGGTAATATCGTTAACTGAGGGACAAAACGTCAACTTCGATACCTCTTTCACGCGCGTAAAAAATGGATAAGTTTTTCACGTCGAAGCGAAACTGACGTTTCAATCTAGATCCGAAACTACAAATTTTTAATTATTCCTAATATATCCACACTGTTCTACAAAATGGGTGAGCTAATTTCAACGCGATATTTTCAAAGAGTAAATTTTTAAAGCTGCCTATTACGAATTTACAGCGAGAGATGGTTACGTTACTTTGTTTATGTACCAAAACAAAATATTGTTAAAACATGAGAGCAAAATTTAATTTTCAGGTACAGCTTCTTCGATGTAAGATACTAAAGCAGCCCCTACATTTCCGAACCGTTGCACCGATGCGTGAACTGTGGACCTTTATGCAAATTCGTATTGTTGCAGTAAGTTTTACCATATTTTCAGTATCTATTGTGTTGTC